AAGCAATTAATTCTGAGTAAGTAGTATGCAAAAATGCAGATTTTTCTTCCCTCCTTCGACTTTTTTCCTTGTAAAGCAAATAAAAAACGAAATAAAAAAGCAAAAATGACAGAATAATAATATTGTTTTGTTAAGTGGAAATAAGACGTAATAGAAAAAAAACCCCCCCTGTCCTGCCCCTAAATGTTGTATACAATCGAGCAACTAAGAAGCCATATATCAATTTGAAATCATTGCAGTGCTGAACAAATCAAGAATTCAAAGGCCTAGACATCTATAAACATACGGCGGTTTACCATCAACAAGTCGGGAATATGTGTATATACATCAAACAGCAACAACAACAACGACAACAACAGCGACAACAACAATCACCGCCGTCATCCAAAAATATACAGCTGCTGAACCACCGGACACAGCAAATGAATCTTAAAATGAGCATTTGCTCCTGTTACTAAAAAAAGTATTGAACACATGATGAAGCAGGTGAAGGAAGTGGTCAATTCTTAAGCAGTAATAAATTTACCTGCTGATGCAAAAAAAGCAAGTAAAAACAAAAATTTATAGCTGCTAAAGTAAGTGACTTTTAAACATTATAGTCATACAAGTTTTTTTTCCATTTTAATTATACCGTCTCCCCCCTCTCCCTCTACTGCCAATCTCCATCTCGCTATCCCAAAAAACACATTATTTTCTTCCAATATAGTACCATTGATTGAACAAAAGAAAAAAAACAGGAGGAAGGGGAAGAGGGTGGCAGGGAGCAGTAATAGAATGGGTCTACTACAGCGTGGAAACCGACTCGCTTCCATACAGTTAACTGTTTGGTATTACTGCAAAAGAAAAGAAAAATGAAGGTAATAAGGCGGAGAAAGAGTACTGCCTGTTTACAGACGTGCAGACGCTCACAGTCAAATGGAACGCAAACACAACTGAACACCTGCAGACATAGGCAGACATACGGACACCGTTTGCATTGCCAATAAACAATTATGTTTATAAGCAAAACAAAAAAAAAAAAACGGGTGGCAATACTGAACCCATCAACTTTGATCCGGACTTCCAAGCCTTTTTTTTGACCCTGTAGTTAGCACGAGCTGTTGGCGGTGTTGTTATTGTTGGGTGATCGCTACTGGTGTTGTCGCTGTGATTGTTGTCGTTGACGTTCTTGTTGCTGTTGTTGTTGTTGTTGTTGTTTTTGTTGGCGATGGTGGTGGTGCTATTGCTGATGCTGATGTTGATGCTGGTGCTGGTGTTGCTGCTGTTCGATGACATCAGCGAATGAATTGGCGGGCTACTCAGAGCGCCAAATTGTGTACTTGCAACAAAGTTTGTTGTTTGATCTCTTATAATCATTTGTGGAGGCTAGTATGTAGTTTTCTCTCTTCTTCCTTTTTTTTTTTTGTTCTGCTTCCTTTTTTTTTGCGCTCCTCCATCTTTGCTCCCTATATTGGACGTTATTTGTTGTGGTGTGTTTTCTTTCTTTTTTTTTTTTTTTTACTCTCTCTTTTGCACTAATTTCTGCTCGTTTTTTTTGCCTTTTTTTTTTATTTTTGCTGTTTTTGTTGATGTTGTTGTTGTTACTGTTACTGTTACTGTTACTGTTAAAATTTTACACTCAGAATGACAACTGTAAATCAGATGAGTGGCGTTGACGAATTACCGGATACGTCTGCTGTACAGAAATCAACAGTCAAAGGTAAATGGCGAAGCGTTTACTTTTTAATATATACTGTAAAGAGATTCGAAAAGGGTAAAAGAATATGGAAGAATTTTTTTGATTAGCAGCATTGATATTGTGGATTTGCATGATTAAAAGGCTAACATTTTTTTGAGTTAAACTAGTCGTAGTTTTTTATCCTGGCCTTATTAACCTTTGTAACCTTGTCTACCTCGTCATACTCTTTTTTCACAAGTCTTTTCTTTCCTCTCAGCATGTCTTTACCTCTTAACCCATTTCCGCTTGTACATTACTGAAGATGTTTATCTGTTAGGAGGAGAAGCTTTTTTCTTGTAAATTTTGCAAATACCGGATATACTACATTGACTTTATTTAATTATATTTGTCCACTTCAGAAAAAAGACATAAATCTCCGCATGTTGCACCTACTGTAACGACGAGTGGTGAAGTATCTGGCAGTAAAAAGAAGTCCCAGCTGTCCCCAAAAACAAAGTCACTGCAGCAACCAGATCTCGCTCCTAACACTGTGGCAGAGGAAATTGTTTCCAACGCTTTAAATGAGGAAAAAAAAGTTAAAGAGACAATGGAGATGAATAACAGTGATGAGATTGGTGGGGATTTAGAAGCTCGGACATCGAAAATGCAAAATTCGAAGGAGAATCACGGGTCACCGTCCAAAAAGCCGACACTACCTAGTTCTAAGAAGGTTGATTTACCGATTTCGTTTTTCTGCTAGCTAATTTTTTTAGAACTGCCACAGAGTTGGTAATAACAATCTATAATCTTTTTTGCTAGTCAGTTCGTTTTTTTTTTTTATGTGACTCACAAACACATTATAACTTTACGGAATTAACTTTCTCCAACTTCAGAAATTCCTTAGTTATAGCTGCTACCACAGATTCGCTTGCTCCATTGTTTTCTTTTGTTCCTATGGTTGAGTTATTTAGGATGTTATTGCTCCTGCAAAATCGGAACACAAAGTGGTTGGTCGTGAGGTGCTGCAGAACAGGCCGAATCCAGTAACTTCGCCTACTCGTTCAAAATCTGTTACGTTAGTTTCTCCAGCAAAACGAACCAGGAACTCGTCATCATCGGATAGCTCAGGTGCTTATTTCTTTTGGTATTGACGTGTTAGTGGGTGTTTTTTTATTCAATTTCAATTGTTTGGTGGGGATTTCGAGGCGGTGAAAATGTTGTGATCCAAGGCGGGCTCGAACCGCCGACCTTCTGCGTGTAAAGCAGACGTGATAACCACTACACCATTGGACCACCGTGTGGTCGTCCCTTTTCTTTTATTCACTAGTGATCACAGTATAAACGTGAAAGCATCGTTTTGTCGTGAGATCTGTTTAATAAGAATATTTGATGCAAGTTTTCTGAATTAATGTTTATGCTTAGGTTGACTCTAATATTAATATATTCTATTAATTGTCGTATTGGTCGAAATTTGTTTTTAATGAGAAAGTTTTATTTTAACTTCTTTTTGTTGCCATTTTTAAATTAACCCGTCTTTTTAAGCCCCAGAGAAACGGAAAAAGAGTTCAGATAATAATGATAACGAAGAAGAAATACGTGAAAAGTCCATCGCTATGCTTTTTAAAGCATTGGGTAATCATGAAAAGGCCCAATCTCTGGCAAAAGCTGTTAGTAATTTTTTGTTTCTCATTAAAAACTTTTTGAAAAAAAGAATGCTTTGTTGCTTTCTAAATATAGAAAGTGTTTGAATTATATTGCGTTAGCAATTTTTATTATGGGTCATCTTCCTTCTTCCTTATTCAAGGAGTAGTTAAGGTTGAAGAAGCGGTTTATAACGAATTTGAAGATGCCAATGACCATCGGTATCGTTCTCGTATACGGTCACGAGTTTCCAATTTGAATCGAAATCCAGCCATAGGTTATCAGCTAATTAATGGGAAAATTAAGCCTGAAAGAGTAAAATTTTTGTTCTAATCTTTTTGATCTTTATTTTACTTTAGATAGTGGATTTTTCATTCAGACTTTTTGTTTTTAGCTGTGTAACTTTTGAAACCCTCATTGTTTCAGTTCGCAAGAATGACTGCAGACGAATTAGCAACTCGAGAACTTAAAGAGTTGCGTGAGGAATTGGAGCACTCAATTGATGACCACCTTTTACCTGAACGTGAAGTTGTTGGAACTGAAAATACAAAAAAGAGCGACAATGCTGTGTAAAACTGTTCTGAAATTTGCTTTCATTTTAATATTTTTGTGAATATTTTTCAAATTTTAACTCACTCTGCTCTATCACATTTGTGAATAGTGACGACACGGTTTTTTCTTTGTAAATCTTCAGCTGCGTTATGCTTGTTTATTTCTTCTAGCAATCTACTGCAGGCGGTATCTTCACTTGTTTTGAACTAATTCGGATAAAATTATTTTTCCATTTTGCAAAAGTTGGTTTCAAATAGTTCTTACAGATTTTTAAAAGATTTAAAATAGATGTTTAGTGATAACTAGTAATTTTCAACGCTACTTTTACGTGACAGAAGGGCATCACTTGATGAATATATGCACCCATTCTCATATAATTTCTTCTAGGCCCCACTACTTTCTCCTTAAGCTCTAGTAACCGTACGTAGCACTACACTTTTTGTCTCACTGCTCATTGTCTTGCATTTCATGGTTTTCCTACTTCGAATCAAGTCCTCTTTCTGTTTCACAGCGTCTTATTTACCTTCAAATAACTTTCTGCATTTGGCTCAATACATTGTACTTTGCCATTGAACGCGCTTTCTTCAAATCTCATTATTTTAACTTTGTACAATATAAGGTTGTGTTACATATTTCTTTCATCTTTTTTTTTCTCTATTTTTGGTTCTCAGAAAAGTTAATAAACTACCTTCGGTTAAAAATGTGTAGCCTTGTACAAGTATAAATGCTTAGAACAATGGACTGCAGTTTTTTCGTAGGTATTAGTTCAGTAACAATTATACGGAGTTTAGTAAAGACAATTTGAGCCACTCTAAAGGCGGTTTAGCAGTTCTTTCATCGCAACAATGATTCCTCTCTGTAGTCACCATCCATAAGCTGGTAACAAAATTTTTTCAGAATTCTTGGGTTTTTTTAACATTTCATTCACACCAGCTGAGTGCGCTACGACGGTTTCTACAAAAAATTTGTTAAATGAGTTGATAATAATTCTGTACTCCGCTGATCGACGAGAACACCAGTTTAAGAGAAGGGCATTGAGAACAATAAGGATGCCACAAAACACAAGTAAAATTTTACAGTCCTGACTCGAAATATCCGCGGCAGGCCTCTTTCACCTGTCAACCTTGGTATCTTAATTTCATTATTTTCAGTGAACTTTGAGACCATCTGCCAAGCCTCAAAGCTCAGAGGTTTGTTAATAGAACTGAGCAACTAATATTTACTACTGCTAAATAAATTTTTGACAAAAACTTATCAATTCTTTTTCTTCATCAAACTTTTGCGTCAGCGATACGCATAAATCCACCCCTCAAAAAAAAGAAAAAAAAAACACTCAACAAAAAACTTCATCATAAACGACAAAAAAATGATGATTTTTGTGCGGCAGTTTAGTAGAAAAATTTGTCAATACCTATAAAGTGCTCCTAAATACGTCCAATACGTCCAGCTAATCTGCTCTTTTTTTTGAGCCGAAAAATGAAACATTTCTGAAAAGAACGGGCCGGAATATATGTGAATTGAAAGGGCGCAACTATGATTAAACTGCAGGGCGCAACATTTACTTGTTCAACAGCGAGTCGTAAATTGAATTTGGCATCCAAAAATATTAAAAAAAAAAAGAAGCTGAACGAAAAAAGAAAAATAAGCAACTCACAGATAACGTAAGAATTAAATCTGTTGAGCATAAATGCTTTAGGGAAATCAATTATGCGTTTTACTACAAAGATTACTACAACTAGTGAAGCTTTAGAAACTTTACTTGAAAACAGCACAGTTTTCTTTTTTGTATGCACAAATAAAACACAGACTGGTTTCTCTTTTCAGATAACCTGCGTAACCAAGAAAATGGAATCTATCAACTAAGTGTTAAGCTGCTAAAAGACTAAAACAAGTTCTTTCCTCTCCCACGTTTTCGATTTACTTCCGTATGAAATTCTGCAGCGCGAGCAAATAAACCACCATACTTCATTCAAACCTATTCTAAAAGCAGTAGATGCTGTAACTCAAAAAACGGTAGATTACTGCTGTGATATGAAAGTGCCGGTAAAATTTGCAACCAGTATCAAATCACTGTAATGCTTTCATCAGCTTTCTCTAGAATCTCGCAGAATTAAAACCATACCTTAGAACGAATTAAATTTGTCTGAATGAGTGCCGATAAATTGCAACACATAAAGTTTTACTAAATATTCACTGGTTTTTAAACGACATAAAGGTGAGTATACTTCTGCGAAAATACGTAAGTAAGATGTTACCACGGATGGTGCTAGAAATCGAGGTAATTTGGCAGCCCTGCCAAATTAATGATTTAGCTGACAGTACCACTGATGATCATTGGTAGTCTCTCGCTCCTCCTCTCCTATGATATAAAAGTTGTATTTACTAGTCAAAAATCCTAATGTGGCGAAAACTTCCAAAGCTTTTGAATTCTAATTGCTCAATTATCTTAGTAAATTGAATAAATGAATAAACTGGAAAGAAATACCCAGATACAAGCTCCTTCAAACAAAAGAAAAAAGCTGGGAAATCCGTCAGCTTTTTATTTATTCTGCTTTATTTATTATTTTGACTCAATTTCACCACAGCTGTATTCAAATACCACTGCAGTTTGCCACTGTGAAAAGGACCGGATCTGTGAATGAATAATGCTTCAAGAGGGTTCTCAACTGTAGGAGAAATTAATGAAAATCTGTTTCCAAACCAAGAAATAAAATCTATATATTTGTTAATTCTAGGAAAATCATTGCTAAAAGGAAAAAGAGAAACGTCAGGAGCTTACAGTTACAGCAATTGTAAACGATTCTCTGATTGTAAGGTGCAGATCAAATCTCTAATTTTTTCGAACAAAACGGTTGTGATTCTAGTAAACTGAGTTCTACCTCTTTTACCTAACGTCCTGGGTATCTTATACTGACGTTTATCATCCGACTCACATGAATTCTTCATGGTAAACATGTAACGAACAACAGCAACACAAGGGTGAAAAAAGGAACCTTAGAGTTTGTAACGCTTACTGTTGCAAAACAAGTCTAAAGTGCATACAGAGCGAGCGTCTGGCTTCTTGCCAACGGATTGGTTCTTGTTTGCCTCACAGTTTGGCACCAGGTTGCTCCATAATCAAAATTTTTATGGTGTGATTGTATCGTTTAATGCATGCTCAGTCTTGCTTAAGCTTTTCCCTGCATTAAGCTTTTGTTAAAATAGTTTGAGCTTGTCTCTAAACTGCATTTGGATATGCGATAATAGCTATGTTCCTTAGCCGCCGAGCTTTGATACGTGCTGTTCGGTATCCGTCGGCTGAGCTTGACTATGCCAAGCACATGCCAAAGGAATACGTAGAAAAGGCAAAACGAACGGTACCTCGAAAAATCTATGATAATCGTTTTGGTGCTCCACCCCTAATTCGTTATTTGTAAGTTGTTAATTTTGAGTTTTGTCACGTTTTTTTGGCTGGTGAGGACTTTATCTAAAATAATCAGAGCTGTAAAATAGGTAATGGGAAAAAACTGAAAAAAGACATATCAAATGATCCTTTAATAATTTTTTGACCCGGAGTAACTATAGGTGTGATAGTAAATTCTTACTAATTTTTATCTCGTTTTGTAAGCAATGCCTTAGTGAATTAGAAAAATTACAAAAAGTTAAGCTGCATTAAGTATTTTTGTGTTTTCATCTTTGTTATGCTAAGTAAATATGAAAGTTTTTTGTCTCATTTATAGCCGGCCTCCAGATGACTACGTTCCTGGTAAAGGAAGGCCATGGGAAGTAGAACCGATGTCTAAGAACATTGATAGGGCTGCTGCTTATCACCAGAAAATGACAGCACAAAAGTTCTTCAATAGAAAGTTAGTTCTTGCTTACTTTACTTAATTACTAATTGATAAATATGTCATCTACATTGTTTGGACTCCCATTCTTGTTATATTTGTTTTTAACCACTTTAGACTGTAGCAGTTGTAGTTTTTTATTTAATGGGCTATTTTTTTCTTGCCAACCATTTTACAACTTTTTATGAAGTTGGCGTTACAGTTAATTCTGGTCATTTGTTCTTCTTTTTTTAGCGAAAAAAATGTTGAAGAGTTACCTGACGAGAAATGGACAATTTTTCCTGGCGATTTAGTACAAGTAATGGTTGGGAAAGATAAAGGGAAACAAGGCTTTGTACAAAAAGTTCTTAGAGAAAGTAATAGCGTTTACGTGGAGGGTCTCCACAGAGTAAGTTGTTTTGACCTTTTTTTAATTGGTACTTTTTGTTTGGTCTTTATTCTTTCCTTCGCTGCTGTTTATTTCAGACTTTGTCAAAAGATGTAAAAAACGCTAAGAGTATGGGGATAAGGGAGAACTTTTCATGGAAGGAGCAACCTCTGGATGCGTCCAAGAACCAAGTTAAACTTGTTGATCCAAACACCAAGTAAGATTTCATTATTTAGCACAGTTATTGTTTATATAGATATTTCTCAAAATTGAAGTATCATTTATAACGTCATTCGTTGAAAGAGTTGATAACATCAAATTAAACAAGAAAAACGTACAATTAAGCTTCTTCTTTACGATTAGGAATTTTTTCCTGTTTGCCTATTTTGTTTATAATTTCTTTATAAAATTCTAAAGAGACATCTGCTTGATTTTTTTGACTTTTAAGGTATAAATATTATATGGTCTGTATAAAAAGTGTTATTGGGCCTTAAATAACTCTGCAACTGGCATAAAACGATTAGTTATATAATTAATTCTTTAGTGAGGCTTGTGATGCCATTTGGGTGTTAAATGATTCGAAGACTGAATACCTTAGAATCAGTGCTCAAAGTGGTTTTGAAATACCAATTCCGAGCCAAGCATATGTTACTTATGAGTACCTGAAGCCTGACGCTTACATTGGTAAGTCTCATTCTTTATTTTTTTAAACGAAATCTTTTTGATCTTTTTCAACTCAAGAACTGGTAGTTTTTTAATGAAAAAGGTACTTTAATATTTGCTTTTTAAAAATCTAGTTGTGAGACAGCGAACTAGATAGATACATGAGCTAGAACTTCTTAAGCTCTTGAGTTTCTCTAGTTCCAGAGGTTTGGATTTTGATAGCAAACAAGCTTTTTTATTAGGTTGTTTTTCGCAAATTTGTTTTGAATTCTTTGGAATCATTGTACACTTGTACGATACTTTCAGAGGTTGTTGAAAAAGACACTCCCGCTGCCGATGTTTTAGAGCGGACATATACTCCGAAACTCTCCTCATTTGAAGAAGAAATTATGGAAGAAATGGGTATAAAAGACGACCGGGTTCCAAAACCGACATACTGGTATTGAGCGGAAGCTTTCGAAATGAATTTGTGTTTTTTTGGTGTTCATGAATTTAGATGAAGTTGATCAAGTTGAAGTAGCAATCCAGTCGTTATAGTAGCAAGTAACGAATTTTATTCACATTACTAATTTTTTGCGATGTTGCCGGATTTTTTGAGTAATTGCTTTATACTGTTAGGGAAATTAAAGATGCGTTGAAAAGTTTTAGGAATTAACTGGTATTTTTTAAACACATCTGGATGTTTTTGAATTCTATTTGATCTTAAATAGTTACGCATTCAAGTTTCCACGTTGAAGTTCCGAGTAAAAACTCGTGTCAAAAATTTAAACTTTTTATTTTATATTAATAGTCAATAACCTGCAGTAAACGAGCTCTCAGGAGTCTGGCTTCATAAGTGACTGTATTTTTTGCATTGTTGTTTTGTGGTTCCAAATTTAATTCTTTGTGTTGGACAGGAATAGCTTTTCCATGAGCTGAAGTAAAGAGTTATTTGTAGTTATTCAAACATACAAGAGGAAAGCGAATAATTCCATCTGTATTTTAGGAAATTAAGCGAAATTATTTGTTGCAGGTTCAATGTCATTCTGTTTGGGTAAGACCTTAGGATAATTGTTTAAAAAGTAAAGGTTTTTCTTACTTTCACATTGTTCTAAGAATTTCAAGCACGATTGTAGCACTGAATCTGGAAGGTTCATTATACGTTTGGCAATATTTTCTATTGCGGCAACGATGCATCGTTTAGCGTAAAACCATGTGTCTGTGCTCAATTGTTTCTCATATGGTTTCATAGCTTTGATAATTCTTGACATACCGAATTCGTAATTCCACTAAAAAATGCTTATTCAAAGCATAAAAGTGCTCGCCAGGTGTGATTATGGCTTAGAGATTTTGAATGCATCAATGATAAAATTTGGTTGTATCATGCATTGTAATTGTCGTTTGTGAAATAAAACTAAAAATTTACTTTGGAACAGTATAGAGTTCCCATAACCAGATTTATTATGGACAAGTGGAAACTCTTTTTAGCGTTTGATTCATCGACAGCCATAAGTTCTTCATTTTCAACTTTCTTCATTAGTTCTGCTGCCTGTTGTAGGGAGAGAAGGTTGAAAAACTGTCATGTATTAAAATCAAAATCATTATAAGAATGATGAGACCGTTACATTTCATCAATGACCTCCGTACTACTTAATTGAAACGACTGCTTTTAGTCATTGTTTTCTACATTAAAGGATGGCTGATTTCTACGCACAGTGTTAACCGTGTTCCTAAGGTGTTTATTTGAAACCTGTATGGACCATTAAAATTACCTATCATCTGAATTGTCTGAATGAAGATTAAAGAAATGCGGAAGACGTTTTGTACGCAGTCAACGTTGAAATATTCTAGTTAAATTTGGGGAAGCAGTTAGAGTTTAACAGTATATTAACTTGTTGTTAGAATATTTCAAATAGTACCTCGTCATTTTGGTCGGTAGCGATATAGCAGACACACAAATTTGCGAGGATTATTGCACTAACATCCAGCAACTGTAATAATAGAATTAGTGGACTTTGAATAACAGTTTTGAGTACTAATGTACTACCGAGTTGTTGAGATCTATTGGAGTATTTTCCAATAATCTGATTGTTATTTTCTTTTAAAAAAAGGCTGAAAAAATTAATTGTTTATCAGCCAAATGTAAATTTTAATTTATTCTTATTGCTTGCTACTTATAAAAATTTGAAGAAGTTGCCACCTTACATTGTCAAAATTTTTCTTAATTATTGGTTCGTAAAATCCTGCTGCTTCTTTATACTTGTTTTCCTGAAAAATAATACTATCTGCATTTGCTTTTTCATCCTCTCTGAAGAATGTTCATTGATTTCTGGTGTAAATTTGTAACCTGCATGAACAGTGTATGAGCGACGTTTAGCCTCCAAATATCGTTTTCACTACAAAATTCTACAGATTTTCTAAAAATTTTCTCAACTTTAATGTAATCTTTTTGATCCCAATAAATTTTTGCTTGTGACATCAGTACTGGTAGATATCTGAAATATTTAATTTTAGACATTTTCATTTGTCTTTGAAGAATGTTTATGCTTTTCAATTATTGTCAGTCGAGTGCTTCTTACTCGTTAAGTTAATTTAGTTTTCTAATTTAGTGGACATATGAAACAAAAGTTGATTAGCAACAAGCACCTTGCCATTGTCTCGTCGTATGTATCCACAGCTTCTTTAATAGCTTTTTCATCGTTTTTTTGCTTTATTTCCTAAAACTCTTGATGTTATTGCCTTCCACATTGTTTCGAAAAATTTCGCATATAACATCTTAAGCCTCTGAATTATGTTTTCTCTTCAGAAAGCTACGAAATTTTGGCATTCCAATCAAGCGTCGTAAGTCTAGTTAGTACCCACTAGGTTTATTTGTTAGTTTTGAAACACCGACCAACCTCAACATGTTTTGTAAGTTTTCGTAATTCACTTTCCTGTTCACTCGCAATTGCATCAAACTTATCGTAGGCCTCGAGAGGAGATGTTTGTTGGGTTAGTACGGCATCTATATAATCGTATAGATACTGAAATTTACTATTTTGGTGAGAGTATGCTACATTTTTACTGTTGGTAGCAATGAATTCTTCGCCTAATAGTTGCTATAAAAAATTTTTTCGTTGTTATTACCAGTGATAATCCCTTAAGAGATGAAATAAATGTTAAAAAATGTTTGACGTAACTAAATTTCGTTTTTTTTTTTAAATAGTTTGCCTAAACGGTCTTCTTTTACCCATTTTTTCTGTCCATTATCTTTGCTTTTATTTTAGTTTTATCACTGGTGAGAAATCGTGCTGATTGCAGAGTTTTATACCTGGGTTAAATATTTGTAAGTAAGATGAGCGTTCTCTGCTAAGACATCGGCAGCCAAATCGTAGAACTAAAATTAACCAGCAGCTTAACTTCAAAATGGTTGCCCTTTAACCAGTTGATTAATGAGGGCTACCGGGTCACAATGACATCAAAATTCTTACTTCGTATTTACAATAAAGTAGCAGAAGATTGCTAAAAGTTTCTGGAGGAAATGGATTTTGCGTCAACAAGTACTGCAGTTTGGCAAAACCTGAAGAAGTAATTGCTGCGTATGAAACCTTGGGTTTTTTTTGAGAAGAAAAAGAAAGGTTTTTAAAAATTGACTGCAGGGACGTCAAAAATAGGTTGGCTTTACTACCGCCAGTCGGATCTGCTTCAAAGTTGATGAGTGCTTGATTATGCAGTGTTACAGGATCAAGTTCAGACTCTGACCTTGGCGGCATATCCGTTAGTGCTTCACCTGCTGCTGCGACTAAAATATGGGATAAATTGTTTCTCTGTAAAAACTTTCCTGAATTTCTAATTAGTTCCACTTTCTTACAGTCCTTTAGTTTGTACTCAATGGCAGCCTTCAGATTGCAAGCCTCTATAAGTGCAGTTTCGTGAAGCATTAATGTATTTCCGACGGATCGAACTTCAATACCTTCAGTAACCATACCAATTGACAAGTCTGTAATAATGTTGTTCTGAAATTTTCATTTTTGAACTTAGTAAGTCTAAAAAATTTTTGATCTCTGTACCTGGATGATCTTTGATCCCTTTATCAATTATGTCGGCAATGTATTTCAGGGCTTGTGAATATTCCTGTAGCCGATAATGGCATAATGCAAGGGCGTACGCTAACTTCGGCTAAAGATTCATTATGATCTATTACAGTCAGCCATATCTTCAAATATATTTTGAAGTTTATAAGAAACTGGTTTTTTGAAATAGTAGGACAGAAAAAAATTACAGTGTTACTGACAGTTAAGCTGCTAAAATTTGTGTTTTTGGCAGAAAAACTTCTTTACTAACCTTGTAACCGTGAAATTCGGTTGCCTTAGTAAAACGTTCAAGTGCGCCGTTATAATTACCCTCCTAAAACTGCGAAAATAATTTTGAAAAGTGCCAACATTTTCCATTCTACTCAGCAGAATTGAATTCAGTGTTAGTAGCAATGGAAATATATACCTTATATTCAATACAAGCAAGGTCAATTTCTGTTTCTGGATCATTTGGAGTGAATTGTTCAATTAAAATTTTTGCATTGTTCAAATCTTCCTCTCGGTATTTTACCGCTGCTTCTAGTTTGACGATATCGTTAACAAGCTTTTGATCTTCAATCTGCGAAAAAAGCTCCCGGTGATCACCGTTCAATATCACGCGACCAATAAAACATCCAAACATTTAAAGCAGGATCTCTTACCTGTGATACGGCACTAATTGCCTCGTCGAAACTACATGCATTATACAACGACTGAGCATAGTAGAGTGCATATTCGGAATGTGTTGGACACTGTTTTGTAAGTTGTCCATAACATTCGGCTGCCAAAGCATATTCTTGAGTATAGTAGTAGCAATAACCTAACAAAGAAAGTCCGGCACGGCTCTAAAGGATTTTGCTGTAAATGAATAAAAAACTTTTTTTAGGTGAGTTCCAAATATTTGTCTTACTGCCATAGTTTTTTTCTTGGCGTGTTTTATGACACACATTTATTACAATATTTCACTCATGCGGTGTGAACGAAAACCATCAAAACAAAAAGGCATAAAACAAGATGATCGATGAAATGATTACATTTGGAGTCCACTGTACCTCATACTGCAGCACTCGAATAGCGTCAGCGTACCGTTGATCCTTTATCTAAAAGCTTTAGTTCTTAGAAGATTTCAAATTATTGGGTAGAGTTGTTCATATGGAACTATTGAAGTGCCATCAATAGTTTCCAAGTCAGATTTGACTGCTTACAACATTGCTCAAGATGGTCATTTTGTAAAGTCAGGTTATGTAGAATAAAACTCCAGATTTCTTCACAAATGAATTTGTAAATTTTGAAAGAAAAGCAAAAAGAAGTGTAAGAACACTTCATTACTTAAAGTACTTTGAACGGTGGTTTCAGCTTATCGAAGTATCAAACACAACTTCAGATAACGAAGTAAGACGACGAAAAAAGAAACAGACCATCTTGTAAATCGTGCTTGTGTATTCGCCATCTTTAATCAACCCACATGACATTTTGTACAGTCCTGGAACTTAAAAACATTAAATCTCTAACAAGAACAAATTGTTAACACTTTGTTTTTGATTATTCATTTCCATTCTTTATCCAGAATAAAAAGTCAGCTGTCGCTAATGACATCAAAATCCGTAAAATTTTACAGAGGTCATCGACTATTCACAACTGTAGTGTACGCAGTAGCGCTTTAACAGCGATGATCTATATCACATCAGGTGTACCGTGCACTGCCGAGAACCCCGGGAAACTTTGGGAAGAGATACTGACTTTACGCTGCAAGCCGCAGTAGACTCATCCAATCAAAATAACCATCTTAACACCGTTGCCATGGTGAATTAACGTCCCCTAAGGAACGCCGCAATTAGCTTATGCCTCTTCACACCAAGGACGTCGCAAAACTGTCCCGATGCACAGCACTCAAGCAAGCCAACCTGATACTGCCGCTAAAAATTCTGCCACCTGAGACGTTTGCGCGTGACGGTTACCCATCTTGATGAGCCCTTGAAAAGACACTCTTCTCTTTCGAGAAAAAACTGTTCTATTATTCCAACTGCATGACCAACCAAAGTAATTACAAAGTCTTTACTAGCTTATTCTTCTGAACGCTAACAGAGTCAACACTATCACTCCAATTAAAATGAATTACAGCAAATAACAGAGCCAAAAGAACTACTAGTTTGCAGAATACACTAAACAAAGTCCGTAATTTTGAGAAGAAAAAAGCAAATGCTAATATCCGTTCACGGACACAGTATGCAAATTAAAAAAATTATCGAAAGCAAACCAGTGAGTTACCCGTTGAACAATAAAGGCAAAGCCACAAAAACGAGTCAATAATTGTACCCCTTTACCTGAAGCAACGAAAGTCTCTCTTAAATTCTGCACTGCCAAAATACCTACTTTTTACCGTGAAAAACGACATCGGAAGACCCAATCAAGAGCTAGGTAAAGAAGCACAGAAAGAAAAATACAGAAGAATAGACAAAGAACCAACAGCAGTGTACAGGTATTTTAAGCACAATGGTATTAAGACTGATCCACAACAAATCTAAAGCTGTTTTTACAGAAGAACTTAACAAATATTAGGGCGGACGCAACTCTAATAAAACAAAGTTTTTTGACCCGACTCTCAACACTTTAGAAATCATGATCTTGCGAAATAATGGAAAAACATGCTTGAGATAACTAAAAATGAAGCATCTCTGAATCCATTTAAACTGAAGACATTTTATACTTCTTCGTATTCGCCAACTTCTTTCCACACATAGCGCATATAGCTTTCTGATAAGCACACTGTTGACAGTAATGCGAACCAACTTGATGAACCACTGTTTTACATATCCGACATTTCCGAAATTCTTGACTGTAAGGCTGAAACCTGCAAAAGAATAAAATTTAGCACTAAAAGCGGAGAAAATCAATATATGTGTAACTTTCAAGTCAAAACAATTAGTACCTATCTTTCTTCGTTGTCAACAGCTTATTTTCGTCCCCTCCACTCTTTATTGGTCCAGCTCCTTCATTTCTTGCCTTTGTCCTGTACGGGTCGATTGTAGCTAACTTACCAAGTTTAGCAGTGCCTAAATAACGGGTTTCCCTCATCTTTCACTAGACTGAGAAGAAGAGAAAAAAATAATGTTTAAAAGAAATAATATTAAAAAATAAAGCAAGATTAACCCAAACATGACCAAGCAAAAATAACAATGCTTATGATTCGAATCCCTAGCGATTACTTCACTAGTGTAATTTAATACAGAACTAAGGAAAAGGTTCTAGCAAAATACATCGACCACAAACTCCAATTAAAAAAAGAACAGAATCATGCACTTCTTCAAAACTGAAAACACTTCCACTTTCAACTGTTAATTTCTTACTGCTTCAGAAAACATTACAACACATCTAGGCAACTCCCTTACTTAATGTCAATAAAAAACAAAATTTTAAAACCTTATCACATGAAAAGCAAAAAACTTCAAATTTCTAACTTTTCTTAGAAACGGCTTCAAAAGTTATGGAAGGAAATACGTATAAACGGTCAAAAAAAACTTCATACGCTTTTTGACAATTTGTTATCCCATACTGCTGAAGTTTTCATTCCAAAACACAAAACTGGCAAGTAATCCTAGTAAGACAATCTAAAGGTCCAACGTTATACCAACAATACTAAACTAACATGCAAGGACTAAGCAGAGCAAAATTTTGAGGTAAAGAAAAACTCACAAGACTCACAAACCATTCTATGGATCTGTCAGAGCGCGGTAAACCTCGACAACCAAAACTGAAACGAAAAAAAGCAGTAACAGAACCACTAAATAACCAGAACTACTACAGAAATCGCACAAAAACGAATCACGTTACAAAGCAGTTTTCTGCAAAATATTTCGAATCAATTGTCAAGTGATCATGTCCTGAATAAAACATTTGCAATAGGCAGTACGACCTCTAATTGTGCAGGTAAAAAGAACCTTGTTCAAAAAAAAAGAGAGAAGTAAAAAACTTAAATTCTACACTAATGAGAACAGACAGCAGTTGGAAAAAAAAATGAGCAGTAAAACAAGAACTGGCAAAGTATTATTAAGCTTTCCACCTATACAAACTGCCAAAATTAACATACTGTTAAAGAGATCAAAAAATAAAACAAGACCCTGCGAAAAACAGAAGAAAACACATGAAAAACCATTATGGAAAACACTGATAAACGGTGAAGACATGCTCAAAAATCACTCGCTTGTGAAAATTCTTTGAATAAACAATCCCTACACTCCATGACTACAGCTAAAATCTCTTGAACTGACGCGAAACAAAAATTATGCTACCTCAGTACAAAATAGACTGAAAACCAACCTATGTTTTCCAATTTTATACAGCTTTACCAAAACGAAATCAGGTCCCATATTTTGCAGATATCTATTTTCAACTTTAAAAATAGCAACTTTAAAAAGTGCTTCTGCTTGTCCCAACAGTAGAAATCCAGAACCCCGGCATCTTAAAAAGTTATCTGTTAGTACACGGATGGAATATATTAGGAAAGCACTTAGATGAAGCACTTTTCAAGAATATGTTCAGACAGCTGAAAAACTAAAACCGTTGAGCTGCAAGACTTTTTTTTTTACTCTTCTACCTTCCTAATGTCTATTTCTGCACCTTTTTTTCTCACTCATTTATCAGTTCCAAGATTTCAGCTATTCAATGATTTTTCTTTTCCAAAAAAAATCTTTTTATTTTTTCAAAACATTTACATTAGAGTCTGTAAACCTGCGTTACGAAATTTGTTTGGTAAATAAATAGTGCATCGATGAGTGTTGCAAAGTGTTTTAAGAATGATAATGTAAAGGAGAAGAAAAAGAAAAGACGCATTTTTTTAATCAAGTGAAGAGTTCACAAAAGTGATGAGTAAATAATGAATATTGGTAAATTTAGATAAAAATAACTGCTTAATGCTTACCCCAAAAGCTATAGTGGAAGCGTTCGCATAAACCATTAGTCATGCGCATCTACTAGACTGCACGCCACTCGCCGCTACAAGATGGTGATGGTGGTAACCAAATAATGCAAGACTTCTTCAAAACGACCAACTTGATTTAATAGACGAAACAATTAATAAGGCTGTTTTAACCATAATTAATTATTATATAAAATTCAAGAATAAAAATACGCGCATCATACAAACATGTTCTATAAAAATGTCGGCACAATCTTCAATCAATAAAGCAGATTTGGTAACCAAATAATCTAGGAAATCAATCAATAAATTAACTATCTGCAGAGGTGTTAATAGACCTTTATCAATTAAAAAGTAAGAACAAAAAACTCGAGCCTTCTTTAACTGTAGTAATCTGACGGAATTCAAAAGGAATCGAAATTAGGAAAAAAAGCAAATGAAACAGGATAAGAATGCTGCCAAACAGCTGATTACATCTATGAACAATCTATTTTAGCCATGCAGTTCTTCAACGAACAACACTGATGTGCGTATTCAGCAAACAACATTCAGCTGTAAAAATGAAGTTAGAAGAAAAGCCTAAAAGTAATAAAAAGTTAGAGGACAAGCAGATGTTGGCAAGCAATAAAGTACTGGAACTCCCCTCTCCCCTCCTCTAAGATCAGCTGTATAAATACGAATTGATTCTTTGCTTTCATTGCACTCAAAGAGAAAAACCCATCGCATTGGCAAAATTCCAACGCGCTAATTATCTCTCTAACATTCGTTGTCGAGTGCTTGGGAACAAATAAAATCCCAGCATATCCTGTGGTGTCATTTGGCTGTTCCGGTTCAGTGGTTCCGGAACTTGAGTACGGTAGCTGGGAACTTTTGTTTATGGTGGAAATGCACAAAATACATCGGTGGTAAAGTTTGGAAGGTGAAATTTTTCTGCATTGCTACGATAAAACATTGTTCTACTTGAAACATCTGATAAAATACTATAAGAAATTTAAGGGAAGGGGCTTTGAAATTACTTTGTCTTCCTTGTCTCAAACTAAATACCATGCTCGCTAACCAACCTTAAAAGTACCCGATATTTATTCCAAAGGTTCTTGGCCATTAATTGACAGTTGTGCAGTCATCGTCATCATTGTAATTAATTTTTTTTTTTT